AGATGATGCACCACCTTAACATGGCCACCCTTTTTGAAACACAGATAACTTTGGAGTACTCTTATTAGTCTCGATATGTGCGTTATGTGTGTGTGGGTGGATTCTCTCTTGTTCAACTCTTTGCGTGAAGCAGACGCCGGGCAGTGCATTGTGAGTGAGTGTGGGCCTGTCACACACACAGCTTCCTCGCTCTCTCTCGCTCGATGGTAGCTGCAGGCTCCTTTCACTGCTGGATGAGCCGAGTCGGCACGACGCTTGTCTTTGAAGGTGCTCGATCGCGCTCGCCGCTCGTCTGCTGGCAGCTGACACCCTTGCTCGGTGGAGCTGGCTGCGCACTCTCTCCTGCTCCGTGCTCTCTGGCGGTGCACGATTGCGCTTGCAGCTGGTCCTCTGCGATGCTGGCTTGGTCGATGCTTGGCACTTTCCGCCCTTTCTCCAGGTTGATTGCTTGTCGCTGCTCATCACTCTTTCTCTCTCCTTGATCGGGCAGCTGCCGGGTGGGAGCTGCACTCAATGTAGAATTAAACTTTTAGCAATGCTTCATCTGTCAGCGCCGAACTCATACTCGGTGACACATCGCTACTCGGCAAGCCTCGCCATCCTTGGTCGATTGCAGGGCCCACTCCGGATATTGCCGCTTGCTGTACTCAACTCTTTGCGTTGACTTCGTAGACTCGTGGCTTCTGTCGATGCAGCGCTCTATGGATGTGCCTGTCACGGGGCTGGTTTCCGGAGCCTACTGCTTGCAGTACTGCTTGCTTGGTCGATGCTTGGCGCTTTCCGCCATTCCTCGAGGTTGATTGCTTGCCGTTGCTCGTCACTCTTTCTCTCGGGCTGCAGCTGCTGGTGGGAGCTGGCATTCAATGTAGAATAACTTTGAGCAATACTTCGTCTATCAGCGCCGAATCCTTGGTCGATTGCAGGGTCCAGCCCCAGAGCTTGCCGCTTTCAGTATTGAAATGTGTGTTGTGTCTCTGTTTTTATCTGAAATTCCTTCCCCTCGCTCTCCTTCTCACAAAGGCTTGGAATTCCTTTGATGTCGCTCTTTGCTGTGGGTTGATTACCTGTCCGGTGTACGTGTATGTTCCGATTTATTGGAGTGATAAGTTGTTTCATCAAGGACTTTCTTCTTTCATGGTCGGGTGTTACATTTTTGTTTCTCTCAAAGAGGGGCAGTCTCTCCCTTTGTGATGTTATTGCTATCACGTGCTTCTGGAAGACAAAGGCGGTTGGGAGGCTCTCCCTCTATGGAATACATTTTATCTTGGTCATGTGTGATTGACCTATTTCGCCTTCTATCTCTTCTGGATGACCCTCGATTTACTACTTCATAATTATTATTTGGTTTATTTTTCCAAGATTTGTGATTTATCAACGTTATTACCCCGTATGTTCGTAGGGTTTTATTAACCTTTGTTCCCCTTCTGTATCCAGGGATCTGTGCTGTTATACTCGAGTTATATTTTGATGTCCTGAAGTTGGAGATGTAACTAAGTTTTCACTTAAGCTTTGACTGCAGGAATTCATACTTTGGTTCTTTTGGTAAAGTCACATTGATAGCAAGATACAATAAGAAACAATGTGAGGTGAATTAGAGTAAAATAGAGTAAGTGATCATTCAAGGCCACCAATGTGACAGCAGTCTGGTTTTTAATCTGGGTGAGTGTGTTGGCAGACTATGATTTCGACTTATTCTTGTCGCTAAGTTTCGAACAGTTACCATGAATTAAAAGAAACGAGAAAAAATAATTAAAAAATTGTCTGTTCGCTTTTGAGGCGGCCTTTGAAGCGATGTAGAGATTCCCCAGACTCTCATTACCTTTTATGGCTATTTCCTGGCCTAGTCCTGAATGTGAAAGGCAGCTGCTGTTTGAGGGGAGGGGGTTCGCATCACCCCCTTTTGCCAAGCGACACCGCGATTGATGATTACTTTAAAAAAATATATATTGGCAGAATTATTCTTAATATAAATTTTGGAAAAAGGCCTATATATATACACACCAGACCAAAACGGACGTCATGTCACATGTTCACACCCCCCGCCTTTCGGACGCGTCGCCGCAGCCCGTCGCACGCATCGGCCTTATCGGGGGAAATTTAAACCAGTCTCTCTTCAGGACTCGCATTGCAGCAATCAGCTGTACCAACCGAGCTGAGAAGACACAACGCTCACACACTCCCAACTCGCAATGCAGCACCTGGCTGCACGTAATCGAGCGGAGAGAGCGACGCAATTTGTCAGCAATCTACAGCCCCACGCACCCTTGATCTACATAGAACCCAAAGGCCACCCTCGCACAAAAAAATAGTTTTTTCGTTTGTCGAGCAACAACAGACAGGAACCCACCAACGAGTTCGATTCACATCGGTCCTGCCAATAAAAAAAATCCCTTACGACATCAGCCACGGGATTTCCACGGGTCTCAACACCAAACTCAGAGCAAAACACCATAAGCTCCCCGAGCCTCTGGTTCACTGTGTCAGACGCGCCTCGGAGTGTCTCAATCTCCGGCCGTCAGGTCAATCCGTCTGCCACAGCAGCACGGGGCCACCTACTCCTCGAGCCATGTGAGAATACAGCCCACTAGGCTAGACACGCCACGGAGCGTCTCGCCTCCGGGCTGTCAGGTCAAGCCGTCAGCCCACAGCATGACGGGACCACGACTCTCGCGTTAAACATGCAATACTCACAAGGCCATTCTGGTCAGGATCTGCGCCCCCAAGATAGGCGACAGCCAGCGTCACAACTCCAAATCACTGGCAGCATGACACCATCTCGATTCAAAGGCTTCATACCAATGACGGCAGAGCCACAAACCAAGCAGTCATCCCACACACAATCGCAATTTCACACCATCACAACACATACAACTTTGAATTAGGATCCCCTAATTAAATCGATCCAATGCCGAGCAGACACGCACAACCTGCAACGATCCCGAATTTCTAAAGGGTCACAACAATGCACCTCACAACCCGTATCCGCACAGAGAGGGACTGTTCATGCAGTACGTGCAGTCCGCCTCCTGCACACACGAGCAACAAAGCTCCATACGGTCCGTAGATTGGCAACGATCATGATCAAAGTTTCCCCACAGTCACACATTGACAACCGCGACTCCGCAAGAACAACAACAAAAACTATGTAACAACGCGAATCATTAACACGGCAACCCACGGGATATTAACGGAGCTCAGGACACCCATATAACCGAATTAATCATTAACTGCCTCCTAAAGATAAACTATCCCGACGCCGTAATTAACAACCAATGTTATAACGCAGACAACCCGCACGGACGCCACATCCATCCGCCAAACACACAACTTGACTAACACGCTCCGCAACCCAGCGAGTACAAGAAAAATAAAACATGCAATCACAACCCGGCGCACGCAAAGATGCGTGAAGTGACAAGGCCCGGGTTTATGTCATGTCACGTCTCGCTTGGGAGGCTGTGAGGAGCGGAAGACAGCAGGGTGGAGTCTTGAACACCGCGAAGGATCTTGGATGGTGAGCGCGGCATCCCTCTTGCGAACCGATCCGGCCTCCCGCACTTAAAACAGAAGACGGGGGCGCCACCAAGATGGCCGAAGATCTCCCTCCACAGGTGTAGAAAATGGCGGGAACAGCATTTTGGCGGGAACAGCATTTTGGCGGGAAACTGCATCCCGACCGCCCGCCAAAATGGCGGCCGCGCACGCGTGCTGCACGCGCGAATTTCCCACCCAGGCACCAGCAGCAGCAGCGGCGGCGGCGTCCTCTCCCCATAGCTCCGGCGCTCTCTCTTTCGATGGTGGCGAAGCCGCGGCGTGATCTTCGTCCCGCCGCCCCGCCTGCAGCCCCATCTCTCTCCTTCACCGGGGCTGCAGACCCCAGGGCTGCTCTGGAGGATGATCTTCCCGCCGTCCCCGTCGTGTGAAGGCATCCAGGTAAGTCGTTGTCTTCATGCGCATTTTATACTAAATTAGGATAACACCTAGCAATTAATTTCCGCAACTTCTGACACCCAATGTAGTGGGTTAAATTCAGGCGCACACTGGAACTTGGGAGGCAACACTATTTATTAGGTAACATAACAATTAACACTTAACATAACGACTTAAGGTGATAGCCACCTTCCTAACTTAACTAACACACGAGGATATTACATTACTGGACCAGGACAGCCCAACATGCTGCCTGGTCCACTAGCGGAGACCGGAGAGCTTCATCCCAGACTTGACACAGCAGAACAGCCTCGCTTTCCATCCACACACCATTTATATCCACTCCGGCGTGGCCGGCCCCGCCCCAGGCCACGCCCCCCTTCCCAGGCCACGCCCCCCTTCCCGATCCTTCAGGAAGGCCCGAACCACAACCCCGCGACTTCCCTGGGACCCCTGGCCCCCCTTTATCCGGTCACGCGTCCTGTTGGGTTCATGCAGAGTGTCACGGCCTGACACGACCCCGTGACACCTGCCTACAGCCCCCATACCGGCCCAATACAGTAGTGTCGTTCTACAACACTACACCTGTAAAGGGATTTTCCTACAACTTTACGGTCTTACAATATTAACATATATTACCTCAATAAAGCTACATTAGTCTCCTTTATATGAATAGATTAATGGCTTTGATCAACTTACCAGCCTAAAAAAGAACATCTCATTTGAAAACGAATTTCTGGATTAAAAACTAATTTTCTAGATTGAAAACTCATTTCAATAGAACTGCTGTTTGTGCTTAGTTTGTTGTCCTTCCCCCGCACCTATGATTAGTGAGGCTGCCTGTGTATGGTGCCAAAGAAGCTGAACATACATTAATTTAAACTAAGGACAAAAAAAATCTTGACTTAAAGATTTCGTGACTGCAGGAATTCATATTCTTGGGTATTTCGGTCAATTCACGTAGATAGGTTCAAAGAAAATAACAAAAAAATAACAAAAAACTACGACGTTTCGATCGCAACAAAAGCGATCGTCTTCACTTCTCCGCTTGTGTTGCGATCGAAACGTCATAGTTTTTTGTTATTTTCTTTGAACATATCTACGTGACTTTACCGAAAGACCCAAGACTAAGACAAGTATTTAGGCATTTGAACGAAATAGAATTTTAAAAGCATTTAATGACACAAATGGTAAGATTCACGTTCATTTTTTGCATGCAGTTTAAAATGCAGTCACCGTATTGTAGTGACAGGTGATCTTCTTCCTAAGACACTGCCTAAGTTGTTTATCTCGTATTCCATAAATTAAGGGAACAACAAACCTTGAGCTATAATAAAGAAATAAATAATTACTTAACCGTAATATTGTTATCACGTTACGATCTGTTGTGATTATAGCAAAAAGGAATTCAAAAAATCTGTTACCAAGTGAACACAGATACAGAAACAACTGCAGGCCATGTAATATGACAGTTTGCTTGGCTCGTTTCGCCTTAGATGCATCATCGGACGCCTTTCTAGCTGCCATCATTATATTGAAGTAGGTGAAGATCAGCGCAATGATGCAGACTGTGAAAATAACGACGTTTGGGAATTCTCTGAGCACCGTGATTGCCATGGGGTTGGGCATCAGGCTGTCGGTGAGATACGAAGAACAAGTCCGAATATTGTTCACGGTCACGCCACTTGTGAAGACCAGAATGCCGCATGCCAGCGGGAACACTGAAGCGACGGACCAAATTATGGCCAAGAACTTAAGCGTTTTGCGGTGGCTGAACCAGCGGGGGTGATGGAAGGGGTGGCAAATGGCCACGTATCGCTCCACGGACATGAGCGTGACGCACAGAACCCCGCTCTGGTTCAGAATTGTGCTGACCATGGTGTTCACGCTGCACGACGTCAAACTTAAATTTGTTTGTAGCCAAATTGACGTCGAGATGACGGTGGAGTAAAGCAGGAAGAAGGTGTCGCACGCGAGTAGATTGGCGAAGAGAATGTAGCGCGAGTTCTCCCTTAGCTTCACTTCGGTGAAAATCGTGATGGTGATAGAGAGAAATAAACACAGAGAAGGGGCCGTCATGAAGAGGTTGACAATCTGGAAGATGGTGTAAAACATTTGAGAGACCACGGAACTGCTGTTTATCGTCACGGTGAGATTCACTGTCACGTTGTTAATTTGCGTCATGACTTTCGGAATTCGGCACTTTTGTAGACACTTAAATGTAATCCATCATGAATGTATGGTATATTAATGCTATCGGGTTTATTGCGACCTTATAATATGGAAGAGAAGTGAATTAGATAACCATAGTATAACATGTCTTGAAGGCTTGTATTATAAAGAGAGACAGTTGTGCCAACAATTCTTACAGAGGCCTCATCCGTCAAAGGTCAAGGCTCATTTAGTGGGATGATCGGGCTTTTGTCACTGTGCAGCTCCCCAGCTTTGGAACAGCGCTTTGCCCTTTCTAATAAGACAATCAGAATCTTTAGATATATTTGTCCATCTTTAAAAGTCACCTTTGTAAACTGGTCTTTATCCGCTATTTTCTGGCCGTTTACCCTGGTTCTGAGCGAGTGGGTGAGTAGATGGGGTTAGTGAGCGGGTGAGTGAGTGAGTGGTTGAGTGAGTGGGTAAACTCGCTATTATTCCCCGCCTAGTTCTGACCGTGTAGCCTGCAGGTTTTGTTTATCTCCCGGCGCGCATTTGTGGGATCTGTAGATGAAATGCGTCACTTAACAAACGCCAATTATTTTTACTTCATTCACGAAAGTATGCTGTTGCATTGCCAGGTAATAACCACAAAATCCACAATCTGTAAATAACGCTGTCAATAAGATTGCATTAGAAGGAACACAACATTTCCCAAACTTCTCTACAATGTAATTGGCCTGCCAGTTTTGTTAACAGGGCGATTATAGACACATTTACAATCGATGCATATCATGGGCTCAGTACTTGAAACGGGATGAATTTTGTTATGTAGTCGTTATTGCCGCAAGCCTGGCATGCCCGAATCTTTGTTACTGAAGTTTATAGGGCAAATGAATTCTTCTAAACACAATGTGTTACATTCCTCTTCAGGTCGTGGTCACACAGCGCCGGCTGTTATTTACTTTGCACAATTGATCTGCCCTGTGGGGAACAAAGATAGAGAAGAGAGCAGTCATAATTACATTACATATGTATTAAGACAGTTTTATATGTATAGTCCGATGATGATACAGTGTTCCTTCGGTTCATGATTTTAATTGGTTCCACGAAAACTACCGTTAATTAAAATTATCGTTAATTGAATATAGGAAATACGTGTTAAATGGTTCAATTGTTCCGAGACGATCGGAAGTTGACCTTTTTTACCTCAAAAAACATAGTTTATAATATTTAACCACGCAATTGTAATAAATGGACGTTCCAAGAACATATGAAATCATTAATACGAGTATAAACATGGATAAATAATTAATAGAGCATGAAAAGGTGCAAAATAGAGCATAAAATAAAAATGATTACCTTAGGCTAAGAGAATGGATGGCTTGAGGGGTCACTGATTGGTTTAGGGCTACTCAGTGCACTTAGGAGCACTCCAATTGGCTTAGGCTGGGGCCGAGTGGAGGCGGCGCACGCTGTGGATTGTGGGTGGCGAGCGGCTGATTGGGATTCCCGCTCACGGCCACCGTCAGTGGCTCGCAAAAGCTTCTGAAGCGGCGGCTCGCTGGGCCTCCTCTACGTCGACTCAGCCTGAAGGCGGCAGGGCTGGAACTCAGTCAAAGAGGGACCTGGGCTGTGGGCTCGTTGGCGCCGATGATAGCAGCCTCGGCAGGTTGGTGCGCCCTGTTTTGTCCGGTTTTGTGTTGTTTTGCTTGATCACCTGTGCTGGTGAGAGAGGCCTGCTTTTCAGCACACCCGTGCTGGTGAGAGAGGCCTGTTGTTCAGCACACCCGTGCTGGTGAGAGAGGCCTGCTGTTCAGCACACCCGTGCTGGTGAGAGGGGCCTGCTGTTCAGCACACCCGTGCTGGTGAGTGGGGCCTGTTGTTCAGCACACCCGTGCTGGTGAGAGGGGCCTGCTGTTCAGCACACCCGTGCTGGTGAGAGAGGCCTGCTGTTCAGCACACTCGTGCTGGTGAGAGAGGCCTGCTGTTCAGCACACCCGTGTTGGTGAGAGGGGCCTGCTGTTCAGCACACCCGTGTTGGTGAGAGGGGCCTGCTGTTCAGCACACCCGTGCTGGTGAGAGAGGCCTGCTGTTCAGCACACCCGTGCTGGTGAGAAGATGGCGCCGATGATGGTAGCCTCAGCCGGTCGGTGTGTCCTGTTTTGTCTTGTTTTGTCTGTTAATTCAGTGTTTTGCCAAGATTTTCAGAGTTCCCTAACAAGAGACGACCTTTTAAACATCAGGGAAACAACTCCTGTGGATTTATTTCCCACTTTTCTGCTCCAGCGGCAGAATTAGTGAGCATTCTAGTCAAAGCCGCGCTAGGATTTGCTCAAGCAGCTAAACGCCGCCCAAGGGGTAAACGGTCGGGGGCGCTCGTACGGCTACGCAGACGCGGGATCCGAACAGTGCTTCCGAGCTTTTTCCTCTCCAACGTACGTTCACTGTGCAACAAAATGGACGAACTTCAGCTACTGATGGTGGAGACTTTCTTTCATCTTCTGTTTTGTGCTTCACGGAGACATGGCTGTGTGATTTGATTCCGGGCACTGCGCTACAACTGGCAGGATTCCATCTCGTAAGTTCGGATCGTGACATAGCACTCTCCAGCAAGACGAAAGGCGGTGGTATTTGTTTTTACATTAACAGTGGCTGGTGTGTAGATGTCACAGTGATTCTGCAACATTGTTCTCCGCTCCTTGAATCATTTTTTATACACTGTAAACCTTTCTACTCGCCTCGCGAGTTTGCGTCACTCATTTTGGTCGGAGTTTACTTGTCGCCGGGTCCTCAGGTTAAAGAGGCCCAATGCATGCTTGCCCACCAGATTCTGAGTGTGGAGCGAGCAAATCCAGATTCGCTGGTTATCGTACTTGGCGACTTTAACAAAGGTAATCTCAGCCACGAACTCCCCAAATACATACAATTCATTAAATGCCTTCCAGAGAAGGGAACACTCTGGATCACTGCTACACCACAGTCAGTAGAGCCTACCACGCCGTCCCCCGAGCAGCACTGGGACACTCTGACCATGCCATGGTCCACCTGATTCCTGCATACAGGCAAAAACTAAAGCTCTGTAAACCTGCTGTGAGGACATCTAAACAGTGGACCAGTGAGGCTGTGGACGATTTGCGGGCGTGCTTGGACTGTACTGACTGGGATATGTTCACGACTGCTACCGATAGTCTGGATGAACTCACAGAGGCTGTGACATCGTACATCAGCTTCTGTGAGGACTGCTGTATTCCAACACGTACCAGGGTGAACTTCAACAACAACAAGCCCTGGTTCTCAGCAAAGCTCAGAAGGTTGAGGTTGGAGAAGGAGGAAGCGTTTAGGAGTGGGGATAGAGACAGATTCAAGGAGTCGAAGAACAGGTTTAGCAAGGTGGTGAGAGAGGCTAAACGACTGTACTCTGAGCGACTAAAACACTAGTTCTCTGCTAACGACTCGGCTTCTGTCTGGAGAGGGCTCAGGCAAATCACCAACTACAAGCCCAGAGCCCCCCACACCACTAACGACTCCCGCCTGGCCAACGACCTGAACGAGTTCTACTGCAGATTTGAAAGACAATTGGACTGTCCTGAACTACCCCTTCCCACCCAAGAGGCCCTATCCCCCACCCCTACTACAGAGACGACTCTCTCCTTTCAGGAGGGAGAAGTCAATAGACTTTCCAAGAGGCAGAACCCACGCAAAGCAGCTGGGCCGGACTCTGTCTCTCCAGCCACCCTCAGGCACTGCGCTGACCAGCTGTCTCCGGTGTTCACATACATCTTTAACACCTCCCTGGAGACATGCCATGTACCAGCCTGTCTCAAGTCCTCTACCATCATCCCTGTGCCCAAAAAGCTAAGGCCAACAGGACTAAATTATTATAGACCCATCGCCCTTACCTCTGTGGTAATGAAGTATTTTGAGCGCCTGGTTCTGACCCTCTCCTGGACCCCTTTCAGTTTGCCTACAGAGCCAACAGGTCTGTGGACGACGCAGTTAACATGGCCCTCCACTTCACCCTACAGCATCTGGACTCCCCAGCATCCTATGCCAGGTTCCTTTTTGTGGACTTCAGCTCTGCCTTCAACACCATCATCCCTGCCCTGCTTCAGGACAAGCTCTTCCAGCTGAACGTGCCCGACTCCACCTGCAGGTGGATCACAGACTTCCTGCCTGACAGGAAGCAGTGCGTTAAGCTGGGAACACAAGTCTCTGACTCCAGGTCCATCAGCACCGGAACGCTTCAGGGCTGCGTCCTTTCCCCACTGCTCTTCTCCCTGTACACCAACAGCTGCACCTCCAATCATCTGTCCGTCAAACTCTTGAAGTTTGCGGACGACACCACCCTCATTGGGCTGATCTCTGGTGGGGATGGGTCTGACTATAGGTGGGAAGCTGACAACCTGGTGACCTGGTGTAGCCAGAACAACTTAGAGCTAAATACTCTAAAGACGGTTGAGATGGTTGTGGACTTCAGGAAGAATACAGCCCCACTCACCTCCATCACCCTGCGCGACTCCCCAGTCAAAACTGTAGAGTCCTTCCGCTTCCTGGGCACTATTCTCTCCCGGGACCTCAAGTGGGAACTGAACATCAGCTCCCTCACCAAGAGAGCTCAACAGAGGATGTACTTCCTACGGCAGCTGAAGAAATTAAACCTGCCAAAGACAATGATGGTGCACTTCTATACAGCAATCATTGAATCCATCCTCACGTCCTCCATAACCGTCTGGTACGCTGCTGCCACTGCCAAGGACAAGAGCAGACTACAGCGTATCATCCACACTGCTGAGAAGGTGATTGCCTGCAATCTACCAACCCTCGAGGACCTGCACACCTCGAGGACCATGAGGCGAGCGAGGAAGATTGTGGCCGATTCCTCTGACCCTGGACATTCTCTGTTCCAGCTACTCCCCTCCGACAGAAGGCTGCGGTCCATCAGGACCAAAACCTCACGCGACAAAAACAGTTTCTTCCCATCCGCTGCTGGCCTCTTCAACAAGGTCAAGGGCTTACACTGACTTTTAACATTTTATATACAAAATGACACCTTGCCATATTTACACTATGTTACCCTATTTGTATTTTTTGTATTTTTAGATTGTATCTTTTAGCTACTTTATATTCAATATTTATTTAAAAAATTACATACTTTAGCCCCTTAGTGTTAGTTAGACTTTGTACCTTTAGTATAGTTAGACTTGTATACCACTTATTTTAGATTTAAGATTACTATATGTTGAATGTATGCACCTTCCTGCCAAAGTAAATTCCTTGTCTGTGCGAACTTTCATGGCGAATAAAACCTTTTCTGATTCTGATTTTTTTGTTCCTGGGTAGTAAGTGTTATTTCCTAATTGCCTATACCTCAAAAGTACAGAAAATGGCTATTATTCCTCACAAACTTTGCTTTTGTGACCAGGACAGTTACTTGGAGTAACTTCTAGAACATTCTAGAACTTTCCAGGAATATAAATAGTAGCATAAATAAAGGGGCCTTAAGTTGACCAGTTCAGTTTAGTTCCAGTTGCCAAAGTGAATACATGTTTACATTTTTCTGAGATGGCATCAAGAGGCTGCAAGCATCCGGCAGATGCATTTTGCTATGTCTGTGGCCAATTTATCAAGACAAGAGCGAAAAAGTACTCTGTTGCAGCATCTGCTAAGATGTGTGAGGCCTACAAGGCATATTTCAGCAAACCCTGGGCACCTCATTTAACCTGCGAGCAATGCAAAAAACTCCGGAAGGTAAGATGGACAATTGTTGTCCAGAATTTAATGTTGTAAAATTTGGAAAAAAAAATGTAAATTGTAAAAGTTCTTAATTTTTAAACAATTTTCAATGTTGGTGAAAAAATACATCATGTATGAAAAATGTTGCGATAATCTCTTACACATTAGTCATGGGTGAAATAAATGTATTTTTGTATGATGGTACAGAGGGGAAAAGAGAGCCATGAAGTTCGTTATCCCAAGAATTTGACAGGAACCCATTGACCATTCAAGCAACTGCTACTTCTGCATGGTGGACCCTTCCAAACGTCGGACTGGCAAGAATGCACCTGCTATCACGTATCCGGACCTTCATCCATCGCCCCGGTGCCACACTGCCATGAGCTCCCCATACCCACTCCTCCAGAGAGAGAGCAGCCGTCTTTAGAAGAGAGCAGCAAGTCAGAGAGCGAGGAAGACGTTGCAGATCCAGATGACATTTTCAGAGGTGGAGCTGAGGAGAGAAACCCATACTACCCCAACCAAAAAGACCTCAACGACTTAATCAGAGATCTTGGTCTCACCGAGGTTTTGACATCTAGGTTCACGCAGTGGAACTTGTTGGATGAAAGTGTGCAAGTCGCAGATCAGAGGAAGCATCACCAACCTTTTTTCAGCTTCTTCACCCGTCAAGATGGGCTCTGCTTCTGCCACAATGTGACCAGTCTGTTCGAGGCAATCGGGATCGCCAGTAACCAGAATGAGTGGCGCCTCTTCATTGACAGCTCATCCAGGAGCCTCAAAGCCGTGCTGCTCCATAATGGTAACAAGTACCCGTCTCTTCCCCTGGCTCACTCGGTGCACCTCAAAGAGGATTACAACAGCATCAAGACTTTGCTGGACGCCTTGAAGTATGATGAGTATGGCCGGGAGGTCATCGGAGACTTAAAAATGGTGGCATTCCTGATGGGTCTCCAAGGCGGTTTTACCAAGTTTCCCTGCTGTCTTTGCCTTTGGGACAGCAGGGACACCAAGGCGCACTACCATAGGCGGAACTGGCCACAGCAGACCGAGTTCTCTGTGGGGAGGAACAACGTCAAGTGGGAGCCACTGGTGGACCCCCGGAAGGTGCAGATGCCACCACTGCACATCAAATTGAGCCTTATGAAACAATTTGCCAGAGCTGTAGATAAGGAGTCGGCAGCCTTCAAGTACCTTCAAGACTTCTTAAGCTGTCTGAGGCAAAGGTTAAAGCCGGTGTCTTCGTCGGACCACAGATAAAGAAGATCCTGGAATGCAATTTATTCCCCAAGAAGCTCACTAGTAAGGAGAAGGCGGCTAGGAACAGCTTTGTCACAGTGGTTCGTGGCTTCCTGGGCAATCACAAGGTCGAAGACTATGTGGAGCTGGTTCAGACTGGTGAAGAACTATGGCACGATGGGCTGTAGGATGTCCCTCAAAGTCCATATCCTTGATGCTCATCTTGATTAATTCAAGGAGAACATGGAAGCGTACTCGGAGGAGCAAGGCAAGCGCTTCCACCACGCCACTACCAAGGACAGTATAACGAGAACATGATGGGAGACTACATTTGGGGGCTGATTCGTGAAAGTGATTGACAGCATAATCGTAAATCTCGAAAAACTATTCACTTCTAAATCTTTTGTAGTATTTTTTTATTACTTTAGTATAAATACATGTTCATTATGATTAATAAGTTGTTTGTTTCTGACTTTATGTGAATGAAAAGACACAAATTCGCCCGTTTTCTTATTGAAAATAGATACATTTCAATATTTGACTGTTCCGGTCACAAACGCAAAGTTTGTGGGGAATAATAGCCATTTTCTACATTTTTTTAGGCATAAGCAATTACGAAATAACACTTACTACCCAGGAACAAAAAATGTGTAACATTGTGTAATTATACTGCTTATCCCATATTAAATTGCTATTTTGGGGGAATTCTAATATTTGTAACATTATATCACAGTCCATGGTGCTAAATGTGTTAAATAGAGTGAGGTGATGTCATCACTGTGCACCTTACACGATTCAAGACTGGAAACAGGAAGACTTCACATTTTTGGCAATCGCCTGATGATGCTGGTTGTTGTAATAACCAGTGAAACGTCGTTAACTCAAATTGTAAATGTGTCGTAGGTTTGCTGTCATAATACACACACCGATGGTGCTGAAGTAGCAACTAATTGGCACGGTTTGTTCACGTGACAAACATTACTAATTGGCTGTGTCGGGTGAAGATAGGTGTACAACACATTTACATGGATGTCGTACGACTGCCAGAGATTAAGTGGACAGGCAGGATTTTTTTTAATAGATTGCCACATGTTGATACAATCGGGCACTGAAAAGCAAGAATCGATACGGTGGCCACTTTGGCTGAGGAGCGAAGTCGGCCGCGCAGTTATTGTATGTATTAAACAGCATGTGTTTAGAATATTTAAATTTTTTGCTGCTATACATTTCAGTTTGATAAGCCACTTCGTTGAGCTATTATTTGTGGCCAGGTCGCTTCTGAAAAATAAACTAATAGTTTGGGCTTCACCTGGTTAGATAATTGTTGTTTTATTTGTATCTTTTTTAAAGTGTTTTGTTTGCCTTTCCTATACTTTATACTCCTATCGTGTATGTTGTTTTAACGTCTTAACCTGCTCTTAATGGACATCTGTGAAACAGAGCTTTATAGCTCATCGGATTCCTCTAGCATGAATAATTATTATGTATGTATGTTGAACTTCTTTTGCACTGTACGTAGCCAATCGTGCTAATTGGACACGGCCCACTAAACTAATGTCTAGTTTCAACATGGCTACAGGCGAAGCCAGTGAAATATATATATTAAAAATATATGCCGCAACAAGCGCTATGCAAGAGGGTGGTAATTTAAGATTTCAGCTTAAATCACCAAGGAACCACAGATAAAAGCGTCTCAGCAAAATTGAGATATTGCACACGGAGATGCTTAATGCATGGATTGTAGCAGACAAAACAGTCGATTGTGTTGTAGGCAACCGTTAACTTAGATGGTGTAAACATAGAGGCCCAAGACGGTTGGACGTCTGTGTTATCCATAATGACCAATCCATTTAAAATACAACGTTTTTAATGACAAAGGAGAAGAACATCTGCGTGGGTATATCCAGACAATCATCTGCACAATTGAATAGCCGACGTTTGTTTTGATACAGTGGCAGCCTTCTGTGAAGAAACGTCAACATTACCCCAGGGTAGCCAATTTAATACCTTGCTGATCTCATCGAGGAGCGTAAACCATCACACGAACTCCGGTCATCCTCGCAGCCGCGTTTGGCTAAACATTTAACAAAGACGGTCACTTGTATTGCATGCTTTCAGATGCACTTTCGTCGCTGTCCGGAATGCTCTTCTTTCTGATATAAGGAAGTAACTCTATGTACTTTTAAATCTAGATTGAAAACTAATTTCTTTAGAACTGCTTTTGGTGTTTTAGTTTGTTGTCCTTTACCTGCACCTCCGATTAGCACTGTTGGCTACGTACGAAGCGAAAGAAGTTCAACATACATATGTGGCAGTGGCCATCATATATTGAGAGCAAATATCAGAGACCAGAGGAAGAAACCAAATATGGGGACAGGAAGGAGATATTACGTGTATAGGTTTGATGGAAAGTGAGCCGAAGAAGTAAAACATTTTTCTGCACCCCGCAAAGGAGTTTGAGACGTCTCAAAATGGAAATTGTGGTACAGGACGAGGATGTAGAGCTGAGTGGACTTGTCAATGACCGGAACCAGCGGTGGCAAGTTCGGCCTCTATGGAGGATGCCCGATAAGGACGCTACTGGACAGTTGGAGGTACTCGCCCTCCAGAAACAACGCAGACTCAAAACGTGCTAATCAAGAGGCTTCAGAAAATGGGCACAGTTGTGAGCACAGGTTGTGCATCTGGGAGTCATCTCAGTCAACCCATAACACGTGGGGATTTCCCGTGACCTCCTGCCAGCAAGCCTTCGACATTTTATCTGATCTCAAAGTGCACCTGGCCTGGTACAAGCGCCACGGTCACGTCACCATCATCTAGTGGTGAACGGCGGTTGTTGTTGGCTGTATGGTGGGGAGTGGTTGTGCACACTGCACTATGAACCCAGCTACTCAAGTTTCATTCCAACCCACGGCCACCATGAGTGACGAATATCTGAACAGTCGATTAACCCGTAACACCTTGGTCTGTCCCGTGACTTCCTATCGGCGAGTCTTCAACATCTGACATGACCTCAAAGTGCATCTAACCTGGCACAAGCGCCGTGGTGACGTCCCCACCATTCAGTGAAGAATGGGGGCTTGCGCCCTTATTATTATCTGGTCAGTGCGGTTCGTGAACGTGGGACACCCAGGAGGAGGACTGCTTCAGATACCACTCGCCACTCATTTTAGCATTCACTCATCGTGTGCAGGCAGCAATGGACCCGTTGCACCGCACGTGTGACCTCTTGCGACAGCATTCGCATGAACTGTCTCCTGGCTGCAATACACCGGTGTCTCGAGTGATTTGTTTGATCCACGCAGCACGTGGGCGATGCCATTCCTTTGAGGGTCGCAATCTGCTTCGAACGTCGACCGCCAACCGAATTGAGAGCACAATTTTCTGCAGGAGTGCGCATCAAGACGGGGCGACGTGGTCCACAAAGTGGCACCACGGCCGTCTTGCTCGAACTGGACTCTCGGTCGATAGGATGACCGACCGGTCGCAGATACTATCGGTGACATTTCTGAAGTCAAATCAGAGTGGCTGGAAATCAAATGCAGGTGGCGATGTTGGCGGTGCAGCGTGGTGGCGTCAAGGTGGCGTGGATATCTTACCTGATTGGTAGAAATGCTGTGCTCGAAGCACTGAGCATTCGTCTCTGCCGTTTTCTTTGTAAACCCCGAACCTGAAATAAGTATTGTTAAAAAAAAAACTTTTTAAAAACATGCTTTAATGAAATGTACCGTACTAGTAACGGAAGAACTTCACGACTCCAAGAAGTGGGCCCCAAAGCTTGCCATGACCTAAGGGGCCGTGGTCATTTACAGCCAACGTCAGTTTACCGTGGATAATTAGAGGCAAGCCGAAACATAACATGTAAAAAAAAGATCGTTTTAAAAGATGTTTCTATTTTTTTTATGATAGAATATAGTATTGTCATCAGTATGACATAAGTATACCAAGTTTGCAGTCGATATCACATTGAGAAGTGGGTTAAAGTTGAGTTACAAGATTTGAGGATACAACGACAACAGAGTGAGTTAATAAAAAGCGTGTAAAATAAAAACGAGTTACATCGTAGAGAGCTGGGGCTGTTCGGTACATCCTGCCCCCACCTTGTAATCTCTCTTGTCTCGTATCTCACCACTCTGTCCCGTCCAGTCTTCTCTGCTCTCTACCACCTCTCTCTGTGCTTTCCTGCGCCCACTCTCGTGCCTGCGCCCTTCTTGTTCCCCTCGACTGGAACCAACTCCCCCTGCAGCACACAGAGCAACCATCTTCACTATAACAACAATGACCTGAAGCTTCCATTCATCCCTTGGAACGACTCCCATCTCTTCTCCCCTAGCCCATCCTGCTACTGCCACTGCCTAACCCCCCCCCCCCCCCCCCAGCGACGACAAGACCTACCCCAACTCTTATCACTACTTTCACTACCCCTATCACTACCCCAACCCCTATCACTACCCCAACTCCTATCACTACCCCAACCACTATCACTACCCCAACCACTATCACTACCCCTTTCACTATCACTACCCCAACCCCTATCACTACCCCAAACCCTATCACTACCCCAACCACTATCACTACCCCAACCCCTATCACTACCCCAACCACTATCACTACCCCAACCACTATCACTACCCCAACCCCTAACACTACCCCAACCTCTATCACTACCCCAACCCCAATCACTACCCCAACCCCAATCACTACCCCAACCCCTATCACTACCCCAACCTCTATCACTACCCCAACCCCAATCACTACCCCAACCCCTATCACTACCCCAACCCCTATCACTACCCCAACCCCTATCACTACCCCAACCACTATCACTACCCCAACCCCTATCACTACCCCAACCCCTATCACTACCCCAACCCCTATCACTACCCCCACCACTATCACTACCCCAACTCCTATCACTACCCCAACCCCTATCACTACCCCAACCCCTATCACTACCCCCACCATTATCACTACCCCAACCCCTATCACTACCCCCACCACTCACTACCCCAACCCCTATCACTACCCCAACCCCTATCACTACCCCAACCACTATCACTACCCCAACCACTATCACTACCCCAACCCCTATCACTACCCCAACCCCTATCACTACCCCAACCCCTATCACTACCCCAACCACTATCACTACCCCAACCACTATCACTACCCCCACCACTATCACTACCCCAACCCCTATCACTACCCCCACTACTATCACTACCCCAACCCCTATCACTACCCCAACCCCTATCACTACCCCAACCCCTATCACTACCCCAACCCCTATCACTACCCCCACCACTATCACTACCCCAACCACTATCACTACCCCAACCCCTATCACTACCCCCACCACTATCACTACCCCAACCCCTATCACTACCCGAGCCCCTATCACTACCTCAACCCGCCATTAATCTCTGCCATCTGTTCTCCTGTCACCATAATTACACCACCACTTTTAATAATAACCCCACGTTTTTAAATATCAACCACTATTATCTTGTGTATTCTTTTATGGATGTTGTAAAGTGCCTTGGAAAAAGGTACTGAAATATGAATCTAGATCAGATGAAAAGGATAAAATCTCACAGACACATGTATGTATGTTGATCTTCTTTCTCAATGTATGCAGCCATCCGTGCTAATCAGAGGTGCAGAAGGATGAACATTGCGTCATGAACACTGCTGCCTAACACACAAAGTCCTCTACCACCCCAACCTCTCATACCGCTGGAACCTACCATCCTCCGACAGGAGCCCTACTTATATCTCAGCACCATTCACTTTGTCCAAGGAAAGCTCGTACCTTCAGATCCCAGTGGCCAGCTTCAGTGCATAAGACTGTCAACAGCCACATGGCTCAAGCCAACGTCCTAGCCAGAAAACCTGCATCATCTGCATCTCCTCTAAACCCGCACCCAATGCGTGCATTCATCTTATCTGTGTTGATTTCTGTCTTTTCTACATTCATATTCTGCGAACTGCATTCATTTTAAACCACCACGCAAACTCGGATCATCCTCGCAGCAGCAGTGGCTTTTGGCTAGCCATCGAACAAAGATGGTTACTGTATCGCGCACTTTCACATGTGCTTCTGTGGCCGTCTAGAACGTTCTTCCTTCCGATATTAGGAAGCCACTGAAGCTTTGCACTCTTAAATGTAGATTGAAAACTCATTTATTTGGAACTGCTTTTTGTGTTTAGTTTGTTGGTCTTCCACCGCACCTCCGATTAGCACGGTTAGCTATGTACGGTGTGAAGGAAGTTCAACATACATACATACATACACGGTGTTAGTGAATATATAGTCAAGCACAACTATGAGTAAAAATACAACCTTGACGAATGCCTATCCTGACATCGTACTATTCTGATGCCTTGCCTATTTGTACTAATGCCTGAGTCATCACGTACATACGTGTGGCAACTATGCAATACTCAATATGTATATACTTTTGTTTACAATATGTCCACTATATATAAAGCCACACGCATATAAAGCCACACGCATATAAATACATAGGCATGCATGCATTCCTGGGGAGCAATACTTACCGCGTAAAAACACGATTTGTTAATGCGGACAATAGTTTTTGTTAAATATGATAACTTTGTTGTTGTTGCTTTGCAATGCATAAATAATTAAACGCGATGTGTGGCTCTTAAGCGATGTTCTCTAGTTGTGTAGGTCATGCGTCACTCGGCATTGGACGCCGCTTGCTACAACGAATCGCCGCGTCTGCGTCTCTTCGCCACGAGATGTGACAGTCGAGTCGTTGAGGGGTCGCCTTTTAAAAACACGAGAGAGGTGCGAAACCAAAGCTTAGCAACCTGCGGCCAAACCGATTCTCGTGGGGATAGCAGGAAGGCGTGTAAGGTCGGCCCAAAATTATCCTTTGTTTTTCCCTTCCCTTGTGGGTGACGCAAGTCATCTCACCTTTGCTTGAAGAGAAAAAAGGGGGGAGGGGGGATGAATGAAAGAAGAAGAGGAAAAAATGAAAAGGGAAAGGAAGAAAAAAATAAATGATTAAAAGAAATAGATGAAAAGAAAGGAAAAAGAAGTAAGAAAAATAAAAGAGAGAAAAATAGAAAGGTGCAGCCCTGCAATTGTATTATTTAGCGAATGAAAATTCCATAAGCCAAGCATTTGCTAGGTTGAGTAGGCCCTCTCTGAGTTTGTGGATTTGGTAGACTTCTAGGATGTGGTGTAAGGTTTGCTTCACCCCACAGGCACATGAGGATGGGGACGGGGATGGGGGGGGCTTTGCTCTCATGCCCCTTCGGCGAAGTTTGGCGAGGCTTGGACCGTGAACAGTCCTGAAACTTTTACATTATGAGACCTCCTTTGCCAGTAACAAGATATAGTAATAGGGTTTTACCATTTTAGCTGGCACAAAAACTAACACCTTTATACAAGGGATCATGTTACTGGCAAAGGAGGTCTCATAATGTAAAGGCTTACCCCGAGCTCTCAATACTCTGATAATGTGCTGTTTTTGAGTTGTACGCCTTATGGTGTCATCTGGTTCAACACCAGTGGAGACTAGGCTCTAAGAAAAGCCGTCTCGGGTGTGGACCAATAAAATTCAAGGACAGTGCATATCATTATCAGAGTTGTTTATTTTTGTTTGCATTTTTGACTGCTTGTGTTGTGGTTATTGCAAACATGAATTTCCTTGTATAAAGGTGTCAGTTTTTGTGCCAGCTAAAAGGGTAAAACCCTATTACTATATCTTGTGACTGGCAAAGGAGGTCTCATAATGTAAAGGCTTACCCCGAGCTCTCAATACTCTGATAGTGCGCTGTTTTTGAGTTGTACGCCTTATGGTGTCATCTGGTCCAACACCAGTGGAGACTAGGCTCTAAGAAAAGCCGTCTCGGGTGTGGACCAATCAAATTCAAGGACAGTGCATATCATTATCAGAGTTGTTTCTTTTTGTTTGCATTTTTGACTGCTTGTGTTGTGGTTATTGCAAACATGATCCCTTGTATAAAGGTGTCAGTTTTTGTGCCAGCTAAAACGGTAAAACCTATTACTATAGTCCTGAAGCTGTTGAGGGTGGACCACTCCTTCTTGGGGAGGTTGAAACCAGGGAGCTGCTGTTGTGTCAAGTCACGTAGGTATAAAATGAAATAAATCACGACGTTTCGGGCGCAACACAAGCATACGTCATCAGGTGATGATGGACACACATCAGGTGATGATGGACGCTTGTGTTGCGCCCGAAACGTGATTTATTTTATTTTATACCTACGTGACTTTACCGAAAGAACCAAAGAGTATGGATTCCTGCAGTCAGGAAAGCTTCAAATCAAGAATGAGGTACCTATTTGCCAGGTCCCGTTCTTGCGTCCAGGTGAGATTTGTGTTGACATCGTGAGTGGCTCACTCCAAGTCGGCTTTCTTGAGGACAGGCGTCATCTTTGGTGGGTTGAAGATGTCCTCGTGGAGCGGCAGTTGCAGGGAGTTTGCGGACTTTGTCAATCACTTTTGGTTATTGTGGGCGTGATGTTTGCCAGGACAGGGAGCCAGGAAAGCAGGTTGGATCATAGTGCACCAGTGACCATGCACATGGTGATGTTTAGCTGTGTGCCGACTCTGTGTGTGTGTTTTGACGACCTTGACCAGACAGATTCACAGTATTCTGCTGCTGAGAATGAGAGTGCCAGTGCTTTTTTTTTAGGTATGGAGGGTGGTGGTCGCGGTGCCCCCATGTTGAGCCAACTAGTTTGGAGAGGAGGTTGTTCCTAGTTTTGACCTTGGCTGCTGTTGTTCTCAGGTGCTCCCAGAAGGGGAGTAACCTGTCCAGCGTCACCCCGAGGTATGTGGGGGGTGAGGTGGTGCTGTAGTTTGTAGTTGTTCATCTGCATGTTAAGCTCTTCATTGGCCTTTGCGTTGTAGAGGTGAACTACACTGGACGCAGTTTTTGCCGAGCTTGGTTTGAGTCGCCATGTGTTGCAGTATTGTTCGAGTTTAGCTGTATCCTCGTTTAGGGTCTGATCCAGGGTGTCGAAGTTGGGAGCTTGCGTTGTCAAGCAGATGTCGTCAGGGTATATTCATTTTCTGGAGTTGGTTTCTGAGAGGTAAATTGTGTAGAGATTGAACAGAGTGGGGGCCAGCATTGAGCTTTGAGGGAGACCGTTGGATTTGTCTTTTCCATGTTCTTCATTGTCTCTCCGATGTTAACTCTGAAACGTCTCTTGCTCTGTAGTGTAGTGATGATTTTGGTTGCCCAGTCGAGAAGGGACCGTGACAGCTTCGGGAGGAGGCCAGTGTGCCAGACGGTGTCATAGACAGCCGTTAGGTCGAGGAAGACACCTGTTTTAAAGTATTTTTGGAAGCCATTTCCGATGTAAGTGGTGAGGGCCAGAACCTGTTCTGCTGTGCGGCAGCCCTTACAGAAACCTGCCTGTTCCACGTTGAGTAGAGCTTGCAGACAGATGATATCAGTAGAGCGTTGGGCAGCAAGGACTTCAATGAGACTGCGCTTGGCTGCTGACCGGCTTTCGACATTGAGTTGGAGGATTCGAAGGGCTGGTCCGACTGCAATGTGATCTTGGGGCTGTTCATTCTCGGCTTTGGGACTGTGACTCGGATTCTTTGAGGGTCTTCTCACGAAGCTTCTCTGATAATTTAGTCTGCGTGTAGGATCATTTGTTTCCCCAGGCGGACCTGGGTAAAGACGGGTGGTGTGACGTGAATGCTGATATATTGCTCCCCGCATGCAATCGCTTGCTCACGACACTGCTGGCAGAAATTCCTCCACTAGACGGAGCTTTCGAGAGAGCCACCCTGAGTAGGGAGAAATTTGTTATTATCCGACTATTCCACGCTGGGTCACAACGTCCTTCGTTAGCGGCTGGGAGCTGACTCGCTCAATTGTTTTGTTCCGACTTCCTGCACCTTCTCTGCCCGTTGACGTTTAACGAAGTCTCAAACATGGTACACGACTCGTTGCATATACCCGGTAACGAATACCAACAATAGATATGATTAAAAAAAATTGTTTTTGTATCTCACCAGATCGCTTCAATGGGCAAGGGACTGCAATGTAGTCACGCACAGTTCACCTGTGTGCCCGTCCCTTCGCAACACCAACACCAAACAAACGATATTTTAAGGAAGACTGATGAGCATCGCAAGCTGTACAATTTCCCGGGGGATTTCACAGCCGTGATGTCTCGCCCAGCAATGATATGCTGAAGAAAAAAAAAACAACGTTATTAACCCCTTACCTTGACTCTGTTTGCAATGCTGGCATATTGGAATATTTTTTTTGCTCAATCCGAGCAATAAATGCTTTGATATTTGCATTACCTTTATGCTGTCCGCCTTTTGCCATTGTTCTATGGTCTGAAACCAGGTGAGACAGAGCTATGAAGAAGGCTGGCTCTGGTGTAGGTCAATCAGTTTCAAGTACAATGTGCACATTATACCACACGCACGATGTGTGGTGAATTCAAACTTGATGATGCCTTGCAATAGTCGGTGCATATTAGGTGTTTTAACATCTTAACTCCTGTAAATTTTGACTTAAAACTTTCGTGACTACAGGAATTTATATTCTTTGGTTATTTCGATAAAGTCACAGAAAAAGAAAGTGAATAAAAATAATACAAATAAAATCAAAACAAAAAAACACTAATGTAGACTGTAGTAGCCTGGTTCTTAACCTCTGTGAGCGTACTAGCAGTCTATAATGTAGACTGTAGCCTGGTTCTCAATCTCGGTGAGTGTACTTGCAGTCTATAATATAGACTTATTCTTGGTTCTTTCGGTAATAAAAAAAACCACGACGTTTTATTTGTTGAAAGAGGAGGAAGGTCACCGAAGTCAACCATTTATAAAGGTTTAAAAAATGGGCGTGGCACAAGCGCAACGAAGTGGGCAGGGCATATGTGCCCTGGGGTCAGAGAGCACCAATGTGAAATACGGAATATGTAGTGCCACAAAACGTCTCGGTGTCAGAACGAAGTGGGCGGGGCATACGTGCCCTGGGGTAAGATAACAAGAAAATGACACAAATCAAGTCATGATTTGACCTGTGCTCCCTTGACAAGAAAACACAAATCAAGTCATGCCCCAAAGTGGTTAATGATATCTTTCCAATGATTGCTGAGTTTATAACTATCCTCTTGGTTGAAATTGTCTGTATCTGTATATATAGATGGCTTCATGATCGAATCTTTGTTGATAGCCAGTGGGCTTGCAAAGTACCATCGTCTTAGAGAAATCAATTTCGTGTGAGCCAGCCACATTAAAATAATGATCAGCCACTGCAGAAGTATTGGTCCTACCGTGTTTAAAACCTGCCTTATGCTCACGAACACGGTCCGAGACATGCCGCTTCGTTTCCCCAATGTAACTGCTGCCGCAGATACAGCTTAGTTCAATTACAACAGCTAGTACAAAACTCTGCATGCTGCCAGTCATTAACAAGAATTAAGAATATACAAAAATCTTACCCAGGCATTATATGCAGCACTTGCACTGGCGTTCAGTTCACAATTGAATGTAATGCCTTGTGTCTAGCATATATAGCTCTACATAGGAATAAATATTCATTGAAATTGATAAAGTGGCGCATTTCATCCTTAGATCCCACCAATGCGTTCTATGTATGGGAAGTCGGAAATAAACGGAACTTGCAGGGGAAACGGCCATAACTGAGGGATAAAGGCCAGATAACGATTCTGATTGTCTTATTCGCAAATTCAAGGTATTGTTTCACAGTATGAGAGCTGCGCAGTGCTGCAGATGACTCCAGGAACAGAGCCTTGTATGTATATTGATATTCTTTCGCACAGTACGTAGCCAACAGTGCTAATCGGAGGTGCGGGGGGAGCACAACAAACTAAACACTAAAAGCAGCTCTAGCCAAATGAGTTTTCAATCGAAATGACGTAAAATTGCATTACTCCAGTGGC